GTCAAGGAGGGGTGTGGGGAGGGGCAGAGGGAAAGAATCTCAAGCAGAGTCCCCACTGAGCAGGGAGCCTGAAAAAAGGGACTTGATCTCAAGACCTTCAGATCATGACCTGAACTGAAATCAAGAATCAGCCACTTAACTGAGCCACCCAGGTGCCCCTAAAGTACTTCTTGATGGAATAACTGTATTTCTCTTTCTTAAGCCTGTCGAATATTGAATGTTTAGTGGCTTATTAGTTCTTCAGCAATACCATTCACTATTTTGCAGGCATTTTCTTTAAAATCCCCACTTGTATTGCCTCTACCTGACTTTTGAAAAACATATTTTAATGTTCTGTTCTTTACCAATTTTCAGAATGATACGTTGATGTTCTAGCAACCTCCAAAAGTAGTTTTTTTTTTAAGTAGTTTTAATTAAGTACTTTGGATTCAGATTTTTATGTATTGGTATTTCGCTCTTACATCTTTTTTGGCTGATGGAGTCCCCTTCAAGCTTGTTCCTACCATCACAGACTCTAGTAGTCTGATAGTGTCTTGCTTTCTAGTGAGAAAATGTTCCAGGTTCATCTTCATTTTCTTTCTCAGACCTGGAATGATCCATTTCTTGTAAAGAATGGCAGGGATGCCTGGGTGGCTCAGTCAGTTAAGTCTGATCTCAGGGTCCTGGGATTGAGCCCTGCATGGGGCTCCCACTCCTGCCCCTCCCCCTGCTCTTGCTTGCTCTCTCAAAATCCTTTAAAATAAAAAGTGGCAATTAGGAACTGTCTGGGTGGGTGGTGCTCATTAGCTTCACTTTATGGATGATCAGATCAGACTCTTTGGAAAAGCATTGGGGAATTGTCAGCATTTGGAGGGCAGTGATGGCACTTGGGTAACTTGAGGGAAGCTTCTCTTCATTTGATACTTTAATCATGTAAGGTTGTGTTACCTTAAATTTCAACCACAGAACATAATAAGGCCATTTGGGGAGAGCAGATCAGACTCTAAATGGACCGATGCAAGTAATAGTATGAGGTTTATAGTTAATCATAAAGCTGCAGAAGCTACTATGTGGTCTTGACAACCAGTAGCTTAATGAGGGAGAGAAACCGTCCAGGTTGTGGGGCTTTTGTTTGAAATTGTCCAAGAAAAGTTGAGGGTCACATACACTGAGCCTCTGAATAAAGGGTAGTGGTCTGGGCTCTGGAGATAAAGGATTAAAGTTTGTTTTAATTTTTTTAAAATTCCAGTATAGTTAACAATAAAGGGTTAATGTTATTTCAGAAAGTCTAAGGCTACCTTCCAGCCACTTCTTGCCAAAGAGCCAGTTGCTCCCTGACTCATGCATTTGGCAGTAGAGGTCCTGTTTAATGCTGTGAAAGTTCTAAGAGCTGGTTTTGAGAAAATTTTAGAGCCTCGTCTGTGCTAAGGGTCTGTCTGCTCTTACTAAACTACTTGATCCTATTGAAGGCTTGAGGCTCTGTTCTGTGTTCTTAGGCTGGAGGTTCTCCTATCTATCCAAAATACTTGTATTCTATAGACTCCCTGAATTTTGTGAGTCTTAAATTGGAGAAAAGTAGAAAATGTCAGGTTGCTGTGCTGTATATTACTTTCATACTTGAAAAAGATAGGAATCTAAAACATTTAACTACATACTGTGTCCCAAAGTTCTGGTTGTTTAGGATTAGTCAGTAAGCAAAACTGTTAACTTGCCCTGCGGGGCATGCATCCCATTGCACTAGCAGTCAATATACATTCTCAACTCCCTTTAAATTTTCAGTCCCACATAAGACAACAAGGGGGTTTAGAGATGAGAATCTGCTCAGAAAATTGCAAGTTTACTAGGTTACAACTGGGAATTTGATGTAGCATGCAGGCATCCATCCCAAACTACAGTTGCCTGGACTGGTAATAGCCTTCTTGGCCCCCCAAGTACCACAGTTGGACCATTCCAATTCATTCTTTACCTTAGCACCTGTGATAAGCTTTTGAAAAGCAAATTCATTCTGACCCTTAGTTTCAAAGCCTTTGACAGACTAATTGCCAAACATAATAGTACATCCACACTGTTGAGTACTACTTGGCAATTAAAAGAAATGATAAAAGCAACAATGAATGAGGGTGAAATCTCAAAAACATACTGAACAAAAGAAGCTGGACACAAAATAGCACAATAATACATGGTTCTATTTACATTACACTAGAATCTAGTGCCAACAAATTAATGTTAATTTGGGACCAGCAATGGGTGTGAGGAGGATGCCTTAGGTGTTTACAGGGTGTCTGGGTGGCTCAGTTAAGGCCTTTGCCTTCAACCCAGGTCATGATCCCAGACCTTGGGATCAGGCCCCTCATCGGGCTCCCTGCTCAGCGGGAAGCCTGCTTCTCCCTCTCCCACTCCCCCTACTTGTGTTCCCTCTCTTGCTGTCTCTCTGTCAAATAAGTAAATAAGATCTAAAAAAAAAAAAAAAGTTTACATAGATCTTTGTTAGACTCTGAGCACACTTAAAACAAGACTTAAAAAAATTGTATATAAGTAGTGCCTTTAAAAAAGGCCTTTGGCTACCTATTGGCCTCTGAGAGCCTATGAGGCATGTTCAAGTATTTGCCTGTTTTTACTCTGAACCTTTGCCACTCACCCTGGCTATTCCTGCCTGTTACCTAGCTTTTTTCTACCTGTAGGCACTTGGTGTCTTTTGCTCGGAATATTCCTTTGCGTGGCTAGCTCTCCTCACCTTTGTGCCTTAGCCTAAATATTACTAAGAGGTATTCTCTATCCCACTGGTTTTCTTCAAAGCACTGATAGGCTAGAATTTATCTCTTGACTTCCCTTACTTATTGCCCATTTTCCCTGAAAGTGAAAGAGCTTTTTTAGAACAGGAACTTGTCTGTCTTCACCCATGGCCTTGACAGTAGGATCAATAAATCGTAATTGAATGAATTGAGAAGTGACTACCAAATAGTGGTACATATGAAGTTAATATGAATGTGTCAAATTCAGATAGGAAAACTCCATATAAAAATATATATAGTAAGTAAATAGGTATGTGAAAACTAGATTTGAGATGTAAATGGTAAGAAAAAATGTTAAATGACGAGTTGGAGTTAAGACAGAACCTGACCGGACACCTCTTAAGCTGTAATGATACTGCCTCCCTACTTCATGAAATCACAAAGAAAGTGAAAATCTGAGAAACATAATTATAATTAATAATGGCTAAAACCTTTGGAGCCTTTATTATGTGCCAGACTCTGAATGACCTCATTCAGTAACTGAAAACAACTCTTGGGTTGTTACTGTTCTTAGCCATGGTTTGTAGATGAGGAAGCAGAGTCTCAGACTTACTTGCTGGAATTTATAAGTAAATGTTGGAGGCAACATTCAAATCCAGGATTTCTGACTCTTGAGTTCATGCTCTTACTCAGAACTGTTCTCTTGACTTTTTTGGTCAGGCTTTATTTGGGTGATAGTCTTATTTGTGAGGTTGACAGACTTTATGTGAACTTTGAAAAAAATTGCAAGCATTTTACCTAGAAGATAGTTATATACCCATTCCATTTAAAAGTAATAGAAAGTAATAATAGTATAAGCAAGACCAATCCTGGCAATGAGAATGTCTTAAGTAAATTCAGCCCAACCCCTCACACAGAAGCTTTCCTGGACACCCAGCAGCTGGTTTTCAAAAGGTTTTCTGCTCTTGTGTCTAATGCTGATACAGAGGCAACCTGTTGAAGAGCCTCAGCTTTGAAAGGGAACTTCAAGAGCTTGCAGAGAGGGCTGGTGCAGGGAACAGTTATTTCCTGTTTGGCAGCAGCTACCTCAGTTTATGCTCTAGTCCAATGGGATTATCAACCACTGCCAATGACACCAGGTTTTTAACCAAATAGTATGGATTCCTGAATTTTGCTTTTTGAGTTTTTTTCTATGACCTCTCCCTTAGCTTCAGGCCGAAGGACAGCCCGACTGTCGCGGCATATGACAACACCTACATTTTGAAGTTGGTGGAAAGGACGGGAGTGTTGCCCCTGAAGCGGGGAGAGGAGGGGAGAGGAGATATCCTCACTGGAGGCCTGGTTAAAGGAACTAAACCGCTTAGTATGCAAACGGAAGCTAGTCTCAGCCAGGTGGCCTTCGGAGGGCCTAGAGTGGTCGCTGGCCAGGAGTCCTGGTTGTTCCCTGTAGCCCTCCCGGGCTGGAGTTGCAGTGACGCCTCGGGGTCGCTAGGTGGCAGCCGCGCGTTTCCAAAGCTGGCTCGCCTACCAGAGAGCCCGGCTGGGAGCCCGAGAACCGACCCGAGAGCTCTGGAGGGGGGTGAAGGGGAGAGAAGTCCTGGAGACCCCCCCACCCCCGCAGCTGCAAGGACGGAGAGATCAGAAGGGGTTTCAGAGTGCCAGCCGTCCGAGAGGGCATCTGGGACACGCTACGGTCCTGCGTGGACTCACAGGGCGGGCGAAAGCGAACCCCCTTAAACGGAGCCGCCCCGGGGGCTGGGCCTGACCCGCCCCCTCCCGGCTCCCCACTCAAGCGCTAGTGGGTGTGAGTGAGTGCTAGTAGCGAATGTGGGTGAGTGAGGACGCTCCGCACCTAACTGCGCTCTTGGGGACCGCCGCCTTCCCAATTCGGGCAGCATTTGCGCCGCGGCGCGGGTCATTGCGCCCGGGCGCAGAGCTCCGACGGCTTCCAGCGCTCACCAGCTCCAGGCTCGCGGGCTCTGCCCCTTCGGAGCTGCGCGTCCCGTCTCCGAGAGTCTGAGCGCCTCCCTCTAACCCGGAGCCGCCAGGAGGAGGAGGAGGAGGCGGTGGAGAGGCCGCGGCAGGCAAGCAAGCAGGCTGGGCCGCCTTTGATGTGGGCGCGGCGCACCCAGCCGAGCTGAGCGCCCGTCCGGCCGCGCCCCGAGGGGGGAGCCCCCGGGCCCCGCATCCTCATTGTGCCGACTCGGGCCCGGGCCCGCCCCCGGCCCCCCGCCCCCTCGCCGCCCGCGCGTAGAAAACGCCCCGGCCGCCGCCAGTGGTGGGAGGCGGCGATGCGCACGGCCGGAGAGACGCGGAGGAGGAGACATGAGCCGGCGGGCGCCCAGACGGTGCGGCCGTGACGCGTTCCTGCTGCAGCCGCGCGCCCCGGCCCTGGAGCGCTGACCCCTGGCCCCGCACAGCCCCGCGCCCCGGCCGGAGATCGCGCCCCAGCTTCCAGCCCCGCCGCGCATGCTGCCCACGGAGTGAACCGAGCAGCCAACCTCCCGCGGACGCCCGGACGGCCGGACGGCCGGCCAGCAGTGAGCAAGCTTCCCCGCACCAGCCCGGCGTCTCCTGCACAGCGGCGGCCACCCCGTAGCCCCCGCGCCAGCCCGGAGGGCGCAGCGCTCGGGAGGAGCCGCGCGGGGCGCTGATGCCGCAGGGCGCGCCGCGGAGCGCCCCGGAGCAGCAGAGTCTGCAGCAGCAGCAGCCGGCGAGGAGGGAGCAGCAGCAGCGGCGGCGGCGGCGGCGGCGGCGGCGGAGGCGCCCGGTCCCGGCCGCGCGGAGCGGACATGTGCAGGCTGGGCTAGGAGCCGCCGCCTCCCCCCCGCCCAGCGATGTATTCAGCGCCCTCCGCCTGCACTTGCCTGTAAGCGCCCGCGCGCGGGGCTGCCTACCCTGCCTGGCCGTCTGTCCGTGTGCCTGTGACTCTGCCCGCCCGGCCGTTCGTCTGACTTTCCGGCTGCCTATCCGTCTGTCTGTCCGCGCGCCCCCCTCCCTCAAGTCCCACTGACCACCTCTCCATCTCTCTCCCGCAGGTGTTTACACTTCCTGCTGCTGTGCTTCCAGGTACAGGTACGTAGGATCCTGACTCTGACCTCCCCCTGCCCCTGCCTAGCGGTGCAGGTCAACCCCCTTCCCCTGGGCCGCGCCCCCTCCCTGTGCCCCACCCCTACTGGGCGCCCAGCCCAGTGCACCTGTTCCCAGGGCGCCAAAGGGCGGCTCCGCGCGCGCCCTGCGCCGGCGGGGGACCAGCCAAGGGCAAGGGGCTCTGTTGCAGGGCTCAGACTGGCGCGGCCCCTGTCGGCCTCGGCTGAGAGGAGATCCCCGGAGCCAGCGGACTCAGCCGCTGCGGTGTGCCCAGCTCCAAGCCCCCTGCCCACAACCGGAGAGGAGTTGGGACCTGAAGATTTTTTCTGCCATACGTCCCTTAGTATCTCCGTTCGCCCTTCCAAACAAAAAGGCTCCTTTGAGCCGAATGGATTTTGAGTCCAGGGAGAAAGCTTCAGTTGTAAATTACTCTGTGGTTTCAAAGGCGTTTGCAGGGGGGAGAGAGAGAGAGGGAGGGAGAGATAGACAGGTCTTGGAGAGACTAGGTGAGAAGGTAGCCGACCAACGCTTGGGCTGAGAGGCCATTGCCCTTGAAGCCGCTCCAGAATGGGCCACGCTCCGCACACCCTCGCCCAAGGTGGTGCAGCCCTCGGCTGATTCCCCGCCTTGCTCCCCGCTCGCTCGCTCTCTGTGAATCAGAAGAGGGCTTGGCGCTCAGCCTGGAAAGCACTTGCTAAAATCTGATCTGTTACTTCAGCAGCTTTCAGACTCGGGAAGGTCTTGGCACGCAGACAGTTGGAACGCTCTGGCTTCCAAAGCCGTGGAAATGAAGGAAAAGGGGGGGGGGCCGCAGAGAAAGAGAAGAGGGAAAGAGGGAGCGACTTCAGCCCCGATTAGAACCAGACCAGGGCTGCCTCAGCATGGTTGGAGGGGGGGTGGCAAAGGGAAGGGAAATAGAAGTGCCAGCTACCCTAGCCCTCCACCCACCTAGAGCTGCAAGGGAGGGGCCTTAGGAGGAGCTGGACTGGAGCCAAAAGAGATTATCTGCCCCTTCCCCCTCTGGGTTGAAGGCAGGTGTCCTCACAGGGTTAGAGACGATGCTTAGGTTTTAGCCTTTGGGGTTCCAGAGGTGCCCCAAAAGAGCCTTGAGCGGGGAAAATGGTGGCTCTCCCAGCTTTATGGCATAACGAGTGTTGTGTGTGTTGAGTGCTTTTGAGCCCCAGTAGCCTCTTTCAGTGTTTGGTGTGGTGCTGGGTCTGCTTACCTCCTCTTCCACTCCTGAGAGAGAATCGTACCATCAGAATGGACACTGGGCTGGGGGAAGCTAGTTGGGGCTGGGGGCTGTGAGGATGGATGGATGGACGGACGGACAGACGGACTGATGGGTTCTTTCCCCCAGCCTTGGCCAGGCTGAGGTCCCCAGTGACTCCTTGAATCAATATAACTGGAGTCAGTAACTTAAAACTGGCTGTTTGCCAAAGCAGATGTGACCCTGTGGTGGCGGGGGCAGGGGTGGGGAATGGCTGGTGTCAGAGAGGCCAGTGCCAGGCATGGCCTGCCTGATTTGCAGCTGAGTCCCCAAGCAGAGGGCAGGCCCCCGGGTCACTCCAGAGGATCTGCTTGTCTGATCTGGGTGAGAGCTCTTGTCCTGCGTGTTGCATCTGGGGATGGGGGACTACTGCTATGAGCATGGAGGTAGAGATCTGGGGGCTTTGTTGCTCAAGCCTCCTGCAGCCCTGCTGCCTCTTGGTCCTTAAAGCAGAGCCCAGGAGGGGTTGCTGCAGCATCTTTGTGTTCTCTGGGGAAGCACGAGGGAGGGAACCTGGACTCTGCATCCCACCTCGACCTCCTGGCCTAGAGCTAGAGCCAGCCTCTCAGGAAAGAGCTGGGTGGTCCATCTGGGTTAGGACTTCAAGCATGTGATGGAGCGTCGTCTACCTGCTCTCTCACCTCTTCCTATCTTTTCAGATTTTCCCCTCCAAACTGCCATAAGACTGATGTATTTAACCCATGGTCCCTGCACCCGTAGAGTATCTGAGGATGGGATCATGGAGGAGGGCATGACCCTGATATGTCACACCAAAATGGTGCCCAAACGTGCTCATGTTTTGGAGAGGGCTCTCAGCTCCCCACAGATTTTCAAAAGCATCTATGAGTCCTAAAAGATAAAGAAACGGCAGGCTCATGTCCCCATTCACGGTCTAGGAACAAAGGTGGTGTGGCCATTAGAGGTAGAGATGAGGGGTGGGCCTCAAGTGTTCGTTGCTGGGAGTGTGAAGTCCACTCCCTGCTGAGGAGGTGTTGGGCAGGCAGAGGGGAGAGCAGCTACCTTCCTGGCAGGGCAAGCTTAGAGAGGGTGACAGGAGCTCCCTTGGTGAGCAGGGGCGGGGGAGGCCTCCCTGCGCGCCGGGAAGAGCTCAGAGCTTTGCAACCTGGTGGACTGGGCCTGAGCCCCAGCCTCATCTTTCCTCATCATTTGTGAAATGGGTGGCCTTGAGGCTGAAGTGGTACATGATAGGTGTGGAAGAAGGTTTGGAGATTCTCATTCACCCAGGGGGGTACTTTGTTCTGCTGGGAAATGGATGTACCTCTGCCCTTCCCATCCCCCCCCCCCGCCTCCCTGGTTTTGCGGGGACTGCTCCAGTCTTAGCAATAGAGTTTCTGGTCTCTTCCTTCTCCCCCTCCATCAGCCATCAGGCCCAGAATGGGCCCCCACCTCCAGCCACATTTTCGAGAGAGCACAACAGCCAATGCCAGACACTGCCTCCCCCCACCACCCCCCATGGGGTGAGCCCCGCCCCTGCTGGCCACCCCAGGAAGCAGGAAGCTGGGAATTTAATAAAATCCCTTCTCCACACGACGTGGGACACCGCGGATAGCTCAAATCGGAAGAATTTTAAAAATTTCCGAGGGGAGCAGGCGGCGTGACCAGTAAATTGCTTTTCTGCACTTGGCTGAGCGCTGACAATGACACCGGGCTGGGCCTTTCACGCAGCTTGGCCGGCACCTGCCTGACATTGTTCCTACCGCCAGGCTCGGCTAGGTCCTGGCCTTCCCCAGACAGGCCAGGCTTGAGGCGGGCCAGGAAAGGGGGGCTTCCACCACCCACCCCTTGTCCCTCCCACAGCACCCCTTCCTCTCACCCACCGCCCAGTGTGTTCAAGTTTTGAAGTTTCCTTTCATGCCCCCCCTTGACCTGACCACCCCCCACACCTGGCTTCCTCTGTGAGGTTTAAAACCTTTCTTCTAGCTGGTTAGAATAGGAAAGCCAGAGACAGAGTCCTTTGGGACATGAGGAGGATGGAGAGCTGTCCTATTGGGTAGCACTTTTAGTTTCTTAAGGCAGTGACATCATCCATCTGTGTGTCCAGTCAGGTATTCATTCAACAAATACTTGCTGGAACCCCACTTCTTGCTGGCCTTGAGAACAAGACTAGTCAGTTCCTGGACTCAAGATGCTCCCATTCTAGAGGGGAGAGTTCCCGTGATCCTGCCTCCTGAGAAGTACGGGGCGGGGGGCACATCCTGCTTCTGTCCACCCAAGTAAGACTCCAAGGCTCTTGCATCCAGAAGCTTGTTTCCTTCTTCCTGTCCTTCTTCCTCCTGAAGTAGGTGGGCTAGTATTCCTACTTCACAGTTGGAGAGACCGAGGGACAGAATGGGGAAGGGATTTGTTCAAGGCCAATGCTAAGAGTCAAGACTCTGGATTCAAGATCTTGTATTCTTTCCATGACACCAGACAGACTTCTTCAGAAAGAATACCAGTGGGGAAATGGAGTTCCAAGGGGCATGCTAGGGGTTCTCAGTGAGAGCTTCCTCTTGGATTCTCACTGATAGGATCTCCACACTACGGATGATCAGAGCCTGGATAGGTGTCTCTGACGAAGGGCACCTGACTCGGAGTCTGCAGGCCCTGATTTTCCTGGAATGTTTTGGACTGAAAGGGTCCCAAAGCCAGAGGTGGGTGTCTAGGAGGGTAGGGCCTGGGGGAGTCAGCACTCCCCTCCTGGCTTCATTCCCAGCAGGGAAGGGGAGAGGGCGCCCTGCCAGCTATCCCTGCAGCCTGAGGTAAGGAGGTGGATTGTTAAAATATCTTGTGGTGGCGCCCAGGGTTAGCAGGCTTGGGGTAGCTCTCAGGGCACAGTGGGCCCCCAAAGGGAGATGGAGGGCAACAGAGGGGAGATTTCCTAGCCTCAGCAGGACCTTCTGGTTCTGCAGGAGAGGTGTAGGTGTGGGAAATCAGGCTGCAGGCCCATCAGGCCGACAGCAATGCTCGTAGCCACCACCAGGCATGGTGTGCTCACGATGTAACAGGCAGGCCCTTTCTCACCTCACAGAGCCTCAGCCTCGCAACCAGCCCAAGATCAGGGAATTCTGCCGACAGGAAAGTGAGGCTCGGGGCGTGAAATAACCTGCCTCTCGCCGCACAGCAAGAGAGAGGCAGAGCGGGCTTCGACTCTGGGTCACCTGGCTCTAGGCTTGAGGCTTATGAAACAGCAGTATGAGGGTTCAGGGGTGTGCCAGCCTGGTTCCAGTGGTTGCCCTGCCTTATCTTTGCTGTATGACCTTGAGCAAGTTACTTAACCTCTCTGGTCTCAGCTTCTGCATGTGTAAAACGGAAAGAAAACAACCAACCAAACAATCCCTGCTTCCTACAGGTGGAGAGCAAGGGTTAGGGCACCGGCCCCTGTGTCTCTTGTTTTGGGAGGGCTCCCTTGCCCCCCTACCCGTGTCGGTGTGGTAAGCCCCCTTTCCCCAGGGCATTGTCACCTCCTGGTGACTAGGAGGGGGGAGATGTGGATTGGTTCGTTTCTGGGAGCAGAGGCTTTCTGTTCCACCTCTGTGTACCCCATTTTTTTTGCTGGGACACTCAGGGATAGGGCAGTGCCAAGGGCCTTGCCAGGCTGGCCCGGGCTGGGAGAGAGCCATTGAGCGTCAGAGAGGGTGGAAGCCTGTTGTCTCCACTTTGGGCCTGAGTGTGGGGACTTGTTCTGGAACATCGGTGGGTAAATTGGCCCCTCAGG